CACAATATTAGAATTCTCTGCAGTAATGATTTCCAATATTTACAATGCTTAGACAAACCCTTAAAAAAAGGGTTTTTCCACAGTGAATCATAAACTGCGTATTTTGGGAAACAACACTTCAAGGACAGATATAACGCACTAAGAAATTATGTGGGAAGACAAAAACCATTGATGTTTTCAGCTGCTGTGATACAGAGTGCTTCCAAAAAGAGTGGTAAAACATATTTAGGAGCTCCTGCAGCCTCTTTTCCAGAAGAAAAGAAAAATGCTATTAATGATATTTCTACATCTACTGAGTCAAGCAGTTACTTCAAACATTTGACAGTGATTTCCAGGGGTCTGTTAGATCCAAGATACATGCTTGCATGCAGGGGATGGAAGAAGTTAAGAACTAGGACTGCCCAAAGAATTTTTGCTACAAGCCATTTTTAGATTTTAATACAGCCATTGCTTACTACATTCATTATTTCTTCCATCTGGAACAAACAGAAAACTTCTTCTTGTAATCAAATTAGAGAACATTGATAAGATTCTCATAGCTATTACTAATTATAACAGTTAGAAGAAAACTGTGTCATTAATGACAAATGTTCTTTTCTTTCTTCTGCTCATTCTGTTTCCGACCCCTATACCTTATACACAGAACACTCAGAAATCTCTCTGCAGCTTTGGTTTCCACTCCTAACACACTCAGGCTTTCAGGCCCTGCTCCCCATGCTCTATAGTCACCTTTATAAGGCCATCGCTGAGGACCGATGGATGAAGATGGATATACCCCTGAATCCCAGTACCCCCTCCTGCAGGAATAACTAAATATATGCTTAACTCAACATAGCACACATCAATCAAGAGATACATTCCTCTTTCACAGTCAACTGATGAAGCCTGAAATGATGGATGCAACAACAGCTGTTAGTTTTAAAGCTCTTTTGATGTAAAACACATTGACACTCTCACCAGAACTAAAAGAAAAAAAAAAATCTGCAAAATACCCCAATTTTTGTCTTTGCACTCTCATATGAGCACAGAAACAAAAGCTTCTATTTTCTTAAGCAATGGTAACTAAGGCATAAGTTCCTTTTTATTTTTAAATGAGTTGTATGTTTTATATTCAATGCACAAATAATTTTACTATATCCTTCTAATATTCAATTTTCACAATTAATTTTCCTGTTCAATTATTCAGCTTTCCCATGCTCCCCACCCCTTCGTTTCCACTTTTAAGTGAAAGTCAATTTTGCTGCCAGATTCAATTACATCTGTACTGGATGGTCGACACAGGCAGCCCCAACACAGACCAGGAGACAGCATACTGGACACTCCAAGTGCTGTGAACATGAGCGGCAGAAAAGATGCATAAGAAATGAAAGCTATAAAAGCTATGCAGAGTACAAAAGAACTGAACAAATTCTATTGTACTGAAAGATAGATGGATAGCTGTCAAGATTTTCAGAGTGTAACAAAAAGCCAGAAAGCATTACAATAAAACTAGATGTTTACAACAGTGTAAGGCAATGTGGGTGAAAGCAGAAGTGTTCATATTCAAGTACTTAACTTAGGAATTAGTTTTGGCTAATTTTTACTTTTGCTAAGACAAGCAGCCAACATGCTTGCTGACAGCACCCAAGAGGTGATCAACAGGCACAATCTACAGAAGTCCTTACGTGTCCCTCACATTTTAAGGAAGATACAAAGAGATCAGTGCAGTGGAATGACTTTAAAACCGGCATCAAAACAAGCCTGGGGGATGCAGGGATTGAGAGCAGCCTTGGGGAAAAGCACTTGGGGTACTGGCAGATGAAAAGCTAGACTTGAGCCAGCAAGGTGCAGCCCAGGAGGCCAACCGTATCCTTGGGTGGATCAAAAGAAATGACCAGCAGGTCAAAGAAGGTGATTTCCCCCCTCTCTTCTGCTCTCCGAAAACCCCACCTGGAGTACTGCATCCAGCTCTATAGAGTTCTCAGCACAAGAAAGATACGGACTCTTTGAGTGGATTCAGAGGAAGGTCACAAAAATGATCAGAGGGATGGAAGCACCTTTTCTACAAGGAAGGGCTGAGAAAGCTGGGCTTGTTCAGCCTGGAGAAGAGGGCTCTGGGAAGATCTTATAGCAGCCTTCCAGTACCCTAGAGGAGGTATTTGAGAAATATGATGGACACTTTTTAGCAGGGCTGTTGCAACAGGACAAGAGATAATGGTTTTAAACTGAAGGAGGGTAGATTCAGACTAGATATAAGGAAGAAATGTTTTATTGTAAGGGTGGTGCAACATGAGAACAGGTTGCCCAGAGAGATGGCAGATGCCCCATCCCCAGAAACTTTCAAGGCCAGGCTGTACAGTGCTTTGAGCAACTCATCCTAGTTGAAGATGCTCACTGCAGAAGGGACCTTTAAAAAGCCCCTTCCAACCCAAACTATTCTATGATTCAAAGGAAACAAAGGGAAAGATGATGCACTCCAAGCAGCAGACTATCAAGGTTACTCATACAGATTCTGGGTAAATGCAGAGCAACATTACACTTACAGCCAGAATCGAGACTTCAGCAAAACAGTAAAACCAGAAAAGTCAGAAGAGAATGGACAGAGCATCAGTTACATTACTTTCCTGTTCAAGCACTTTGGAGACAGTACACAGACCATAGCCTAGATGTGAAAGCCTGGGGAGAAAAAGAGGTCATGCAGAGAAATCACTGATGATGCCTAGGCATGAAACTTGAGCAACAGGCCCAACATTGCACAGTGGCTCTGTACATACAGAGTTAGCTATTTCTAACAGATGTCAGACAAGTCATCTATTGAACCACTTAAGCTACTCACATGTAATCTACATGCTCTCCTGTTATTTCTATTCATATCAAAACTCCTATGTTTTCTTAGTCCTGCATTTCCTAGAAGCAAATGTGTTCTTCCACACTTCATATCACACTATTTTCATACTTTTTTAGATATAGCTTTGTCCTTCCATGTAGCTACCAGGGTTGCTCTGCGACTTTTTACTGACAGGTAGAAGGAATACAGAAAATCAAAACACTAGCTCTAGCAGTGACAGATGAGATTCAGGTAAATCGCTGCAAAGTAAATTCTGACAATAGAGAGCAGCCCTCTTCTCGACCAAGCCAAATGCAGCAAAAAAAATAGTGTGAAAAGGCACAAGACACACTAGATAACTTCACTGGGTTGAAATGAAGTCATGGGTAAACAGTAATCTTACTTCTTACTGTCTCATTTACTCTGTAATATAGTTCTTTTTTTTCCTTCACAACTGAGTTCTACCACACAAAATCCACACATTAAACAATGTCAGGTTTGCAGCATTTGTACCTATTCTCTTCAGTCAGTCCATTTGAGAATAATCTAATCTAAGCTACTGACTAAATAGAAATTTCCTCTCTTCTCTCACATCCTTTCCTAGGTTCTTGGCACACAGCTGCAAGCTCTTGCTCCTTCCTCCCTTTCCCTATGCTTAACCACATCTTTGGGGCTCACCAGACTTCATCATGACCAAGTTCAAGCTACAGACAGGATAGCAAACTAATTCATTGGCTTTTCATTTCAATGATGGTGGGCTCTTTCCACAGGACTTCATTGTCTCAAGGGATAATTCAACTGAAAAAGCAGAATCCAAGTCACTTCCATCTTCTTCCCAATGAGTTACTGCTCCCTAGTCAGCACCAGCACTACTTCTCACAAGACCTGCAGGATCCACCAGAACTCATACAGCAGAGGAACACCCTGCTCCACCTTGCAGGGGTTCCCTACCATGCTGATGAGGCAGTTTCATCTGAGTAGCGTAAGAATCATTGAACTTGCAAATCTACTTTAAGCTTTATAATTTGTAGTCACTGACTATTTCAGACTTAATACACTCTTTACATGATTGTAATCACTTTCTGGCATGCATTTATGACTGTAAATGCCCACTTCCCTATCAATGAACTACAGAATAATCAAAAAGCTTCCAGTATGGGGCTCTCAGTTTTAGTTTAGACACAAGCGACAAGTGGCTGTAATGAACTAATGACTTCACTACCCAAAATCCAGACTTAGTACAGATTAAACTTGTCATTATTGAAGTTTGACATACAATCTAATGAAACCAACATATATGTGGCAATATTAGGAACACCTATGGAACAAACCGGTTTATGTAAAAACAGAGGTGTGTTAATATATCATTAAGTGTTTTAAATAGTGATTATTACTCATTCAGTATTCCCGTTTCACATTAGCAATAAGTAAAGCAACTAGTGGGCCTCATTTGACCTTAACTGTTAAGGACATTATGTCAACATTTGCACAATTAAGCTAGTGCCCTGCTCTAACATATTAAGATAAAAGCCAGAAGTACCTCAAATAATGAGATCTTTATTCTTAATTACCCAGTGCCTTTAGGCAGCAATCACAATTGAAAAGACTACAAAAGAAATCTGGTTGACCTCCAGTTATTTCAGTACTTGAGAAAACCAAGCAAAGGGCAGGGTTTGGAGCAAGTGATACCATTCAGTTCCCAAAAGATCAAACTTATGTGTGCAGTCCTTTTTTAAGCACTTAATGATCTTATGTCAATGAAACTTCATGAATCTGGAATGATGAAAATACAGTTTTAATTTGTAGTTAGTTTACAAATTAAACTCAGCTCAAAGATATTACTCCACCCTACAACTTTATTTATTTCTTTATTTTTTTATTTCACATGATTACTTTTCAAAGAGACAATTTCTATTATATATAATCTTTCTCCCTCCAGCACCTAAAAAGGATACTTGACATTTCAACTGCACCAACGTAACTATCAGATTATGCCACTGATCTTCCCTTACTGATGTGTATCAGGAATCCCATACAGTTCCTCCTTATCTCCAGGGAAAGAGTTAAGTTTCTAACACACAAAGAGAATATTCTCTTTAACTACAGGTAGTCTCCATTTTAACATAAGATGCTTCATATAACATTAAGATAACACACCATTAATCTAACCACATTCATTCCAGTGTAAACTTACCTCTAAATATATCGATGGTGGGTTATGCTCTCCTCCAAATTTGTCTAGCAGTGCCTCTATATGTTCTTGTGTTAATTTAATCATCTGTTTGATATTCCACACCTAAGAGAAAAGAAGTATTTTTAAAATCAAAAAAGCCTACAGAATTTACCCTTAAACAAAAAAAACAAAATCCCATTTTCTTGACAATTAATAGCAGAAGTCCATAACAAAAGTATTTTAATTCTCACTAAAAGAGTGCACAAAGCTACCCTATTCACCCACTGTCAGTGATATGAGAAACAGAGGAAAATAACATTTGGTTTTAAAATTCAGGAACCATCGAATAAACAACTTAAGAACGGTTTATTTTCATGTTTATCTAAATCATATTATGTATTTTCTTTGCCAGACTTTGCAACCCAATTTCTACAGTACTACAAAGCTTGGTGAAGGAGTTATTCTATCAAACCTTAAGTAATTTGTGTAAACAACATTCACAAAACCTAGACCTAGTGTTCTATTTGCATGAGAATACAATGTCTTGATCTTAAACAGCACCTTTTATACTCTGTGTAACCTTCAGGTTTTCTTACAGACCTTGGACACAGTATGAAAAATACATTTACCTCTAGTGCATACAAAAAACCATTCTATGATTCTATGAATAACTGATTTACTTCTAGCCCAAGTTTTAGAACAGATATCAGAACTAATATTTCATCAAGAAGCTATAGTCAAGCATAAATAGTTTGCTCAGGAACAAGCAACCCAAACTACAAAGAGTCAGGAGAGTGGAGGGACATCAAATAAGGAGTGTGCTCTTCAGTACTCTGTATGTAAATTCCCTTGAGGCAACTACAGAGGTCAGCCTGCTTCTCAACTGGCAATCAATTTATGTCATTGAAGTCTGGACTGCCAACCAGGAGCAAAGAAAAGGACTCCTGTATTTTGCTAGTTCTTCTCAAGATGGCAAGGGCTAGTTGTATGCTTGGTGAAAAGAACAAGCTTGAATCAACACTATTTCCATTAACCTGTTCAATGTAAAAGTTTAGGATGTTTAGTTACTGTGTAACTGGTAACATGCTGTTAATGTGGGTGTATATACAGAAAATTCCCAGCAAAATAAGAAATCATCTCAGGATTACCTTCAGAAAGAGGTTTCATTGGTGCTCAATGCAACTTCTATTAATTGATCATTCTGGCAATTTTACCCACCAGAAGTCTTCCTGAACATATAGTGGACCACAACCAGTATCAGCAATTTACATAAATGCCTGGCAATAGGTAAGGTGGGGAGGGAAGACGTTACACTGACAAAGTAACCCATAATCAGAGAAAGGTTGAGGCTAGAAGGGACCTCTGGAGGTCATCTGGTTCAACCCCACCCACAAGCAGGTTGCCCAGGACCATGTCCAGAAGTCTTCTGACTATCTCCAAGGATGGATCCTCCACAGCTTTTCTGGGCAACCCATGCCAGCACTCAGTCACCCTCAAGTAAAAGTGTTTCCTGATGTACAGAGGGAAGGAACATAACTGTGCTTCATCCTGTGCTCATTGCCTCTGGGGCTGTCACTGGGCACCGCTGAAAAAAAGCCTGGCTCCACCCTTCCTTTCACCAACCCTTACCATCTGTGCGGCCCTTCACTGGACTGCCTCCAGTAGCTCTGTATCTCTCTTGTACCGGGGAGCCCAGAACTGGACATAGCACTCCAGGTGACACCTCATAAGGACTGAGTAGAATGAATACCTGTCAGATGAGTTTCCAAATATTTTTCCTGAATATTGGTAACAAATAATTTCCTTGCTTATATGTTATTTTCTTTCCTGTATCTATAACCACAACTTTGCTGCTCCTCTTACAGTAAAGATACAGGATAACAAATATAACTGAGCAACAGCAATATGCACAACAGAAGCATATTACTTAGGAGGTGTTGGCAAGAGAATCAAACAGCCTCTAACAAGGGCAGAAATCTTCCTGTTACGTTATTATTGTACAAGAGCAAAACCTGAGTGACTAATGAAGAAAATAAACTTAGGAAAAAAAAAAACTTGCTGCCAGGCTATGGTAAAAATGCCTTCACCTGAAGAAGCTGAAACTGAAGTTGAATGGAAGACAACATTGCTCAGAGGAGCTGAAAATGGTGCCCTGAATTACCTACTGTACATCTGTGCACTAAGCCAAGAGCCTTCCAGCAAGTGAATCTCACAAGCAAACTTAATGGGGATTTCTACCATCTTCGAAAGGCTATTCACACAATTAAAAGTATGCTGAAGGCAGAGGGAAATTTATCAAAGTCAACCACAGCAGCAAATCATTACTTGCTGCTCAGAGAAATGTAAAACCTATTTTGTGTCCCATGTTCATCAAGTCTTCGGACAAGATGAAAAAAGTTTCACAAATCCAGTATTGACTAGCATATTCTATTGGTAATCAACTATGCACAAGAACACATATGCCATGGCAAATTTCCAAACTTCACAATTTCCCCTTAAGTAGCAACTTCTACTTATTTTTTCTTATAGAAAAATTACCTTCTGTCTTGGCATACCAGGGAATATGCTTATACACAGGGGTTTTTGTGGTCCAGAGCAGCCCTTAACTAGCCAGCTCCTTGAGAATTAAACCCCTTGCAAATACACTGCATTCTACTATGCACAGTTTCTGACTACTTGAGTTCAACTGAAGGAACTCAAGCCTTTTTCTAACTAGCATTTGGAACTGGTACTCTATGCAAGCAACCTCATGTGACTCAAAAATGCCCGCTTCTGCACATCACAGTACCCACAGCTTACAACACACAAAACATACACCATGCCTGTTACACTTACACAGCCAGCAGAGCCAGCACCTTCTACCCATCTTTTCCCCTTGCAGACCTACTTGTTCAGGTAACTTGGCTAAGTTTGCACCATGTGCACCACCCCAGCCCTACAGACTTTCAGCCAAACTATATCCCCATCATTTCTGTGGAAAAAACCTGAAGCACTAGGTTATTAAGAATTAAATCTCTTCAGTTCAGCAGCACTGAACAACGTACAGGGGTTTCTTTGAACTGTCTGAATAAATCCTAAATGTACAAAAATTGCTTTGAATTTTCGTGTCTCACTCCCCATAAGCACGCACATTCCTGGGCAGCAGCAAAGAACCACCCAACAACAGAGACAGCAAAACCATGAAATATAGAATCCTTTCAGCAATCCATTGTACATCAAAGCGCTTGTTCCTAGACAACAGAATAAACCCAAGTTTTTCCGAGTTAAAAGTGTACACACCAACACCATTCTGCCCTTCAGATCTCACTGTAATCCCTTTATCCACACTGGATTCACAGTTTCTCTAGATATAAAAGAAAACTGAAGAAGCCTACTGGTCATCAAGAAAGAACAGACCTATTTTTTGTTACTCTTATGAGCACTACACTAGACTTACACTCTGCACCTGTAGGAACCCATAAAACCACAACCGCCAAGTAGCTTGCAGAAATACAAAAATCGATGCCAGCCTAAGAGACAGCTGCTAGAAATCTCAATACGAATTAAATCTGCAGTGCACCTAGTACAGTCTACATCTAAGTCCCGTCCCTTCCCACAGGAAGAAGCATGATTATTTGAGATACACTGTTTCAGTCTAGTTCCACGAAAAAGTAATGAATCCTTTACAGCTTGGATAATCTCATCATTTTTTCCAAAAAAGCCTCAAATTTTTCTGTCCTATCTGGTAGCATTAGGCTAAGGTTATTCTCTATCACAGAAGATTAAATCTGATTCTCCTTTTAGTGCTGCTGACACAAGGAAGCTGACGCAAGCTAACATGATGAACACAGGCAGCCAGAAGACTGGAAATATTCCAGATGTACTGGAATATATCAACTTGTATCTGCCTATTGTTGATAATTGTGCATTAATTTTGCAAATAAGCACTCCCTTGCAAAGTAATAAATAGTAATAGAACCTATTTCAAACCAGAGGCACGTCAGCCGAAGTAGAAGCCTAAATCCATTCTATTCAGGGAAGACTATGGCTCCACAAATGTGAGGCTATAAGCCACAAAGTCATTTTTTCATCCTTTGCTGCTTGTCAAAATATGCAGTACCTGACACAGCACAAAGCAAAGTATCTTTTTTATACATTTTGCACCTGGCAGAATCACCTGTGTGATTCACCTTTGGCAGAAGACACCTCAGAGTTCAAATCTATTCTGTAAATTAAAGAAGCCATGATTTGTCCAGGCACAGTATGTCTTGCACTTGACTACAACACTTGTGATGATGGAGAATACTTTCATAGAACCAACAAAGTAATAATAATAATAAAAAAATAAAAAAAAAAGAAAGAAAAAAGCAAGTATTTGATTTGGAAACTGTTTTATAAGGAGGCCAAAATCACCAATACCCACCCAATACTATTTTAATCAGTCCCTTCAGGCTTGCTTCTAAGACAATCAATTCTATTGTTTGGTCCACTGAATTAGGATCCACTTTGTTAGCAAATGCTCTAGAAAGCTGTCATGTACGAGATCATTCTTAGCTGGACTGATGTCTTAACTAACTTAAAGTGAAGTATTAGAATGAAAGAGAGGGAAAAGGACATATGAATGGGGCAATAACTCAGCACCACACTTGAGCATTTACATGTCAATGTGCAGAGTCTGCATTTTCTAGTTTCTTTGCTGAAAAATCACTGTTACTTCTTCCTCACATTTTTGATATAATTTCTTGGATACTTTTCCACCTCATCAACCTCTTGGCTCTTACAGAGTTTGCTTTCCATTTTCTGTAGACAACTGCTGGAACACGCACATACAGTGAGAAGGACTGTCTCTTCGTTCTTCCTACACTTCAAGCTCTAGCTCTTCATCTCTCAACGGGAGCTTCTCTCAATTTGCACATCAACTGTGTTCATTTCTGCACTGCTCCTACTCTTCATGCTTACCACATTTTCAACAGTGTAGTTAAACTTTTTATTAAACAAGTATAAAAACTACTAACAGCTGAAAAACTTTACTGAAATGAAAACCAGCCTGCAAAGGGTTTCACATAAGAGTTTGCACAAGTGACACAAATGTCACTGCCTTTCCTAGTTTATCTTCCCTAACTTTTTATTAATGTTGGTGAATC